ATTTCCCCATCATCATAAATAAGTATATTTACATATGTACATACATACATCTAGACCTCCACAAATGCCCTTTACCTCCTAGTCCTTTCCTCTATTTCTTTTTACTTTCCCATTTAATTTCTTGACTGCTGCTTTCATGAACATTGATTTTAGATGTTCCAGTCAAATGCAATCCTTGAAGATTTCTATCTTTTCTCTGTTTATCATGCTGCTGTTTATTGGTCCAGCTGTGAGGTATTTGATTTACTTTACGTTGAGCTTTAATCCATATGGAAGGTTGTGGTCTTTAATCTTCTCAATGCAAATGCTTCAAGTCCTCCTCACTTTGAGTGAGTAAGGTTGTGTCAACTGCATATCACAGGCTAATAAGCCTTCCTTCAATCCTGATGCCATGTTCATCTCCAGAAAGTTCCATTTCTTGGCTAACTTGCTGAGCACACAGATTGAATAAGTATGGTACAAAGATACAACTTTCCTGATCTTAAACCATGCAGTATTCCCTTGTTCAAAAAAAAAAAAAAGAATTGTTCTACTTGAACAAGTGCCTCTTGGTTCATGTACAAGTTTTTAAAGTATTCTGGAATTCCCATTATTCTCAGTGCTCTCCCATTATTCTAGTTTGTTATGATCCACACAGTTAAATGCTTCTCTCTAGTTGGTAAAACACAAGTAAACATCATTCTGGTACTCTGATATCAGCAGTGATATTCCTTGTGCTATGTCTTCTTCTGAATCCAGCTTGAATTTCCAGCAGCTACCTGTCAGTTTACTGCTGCAACTGTTGTTACATTCAGCTAAATTTTGCTAGTATGTTGATATTAATGATACTGATCAATAATTTCCACATTCTGTTGGGTCATTTTTGTTTGGAATGGGCACAAATATGGACCTCTTCCTGTCGTTGGGCCAGGTAGCTGTCTTCCAAATACCTTGGCTTAGAGAAATGAAGGCTTCCAGTGTTTCTTGACTTGTTAAAAACATTTCAGTTGATATTCCCTCAATTCCTGAAGCTTTGTATTTTGCTAATGCAGTGGTCCCAACCTTCCTAATGCTGCGGCCCTTTAATACAATTCCTCATGTTGTGGTGACCCCATATGTGGGCGTAGCTGCATGCTGGGTGGACCCGCCTGGAGATGGATAGAGAAGTGGTGTCTCGTTTTCTAAGACCATCGAAAATATGGTCGTAGGCGACCCCTGTGAAAGGGTCATTAAACCCCCAAAGGGGTCACGACCCACAGGTTGAGAACCACTCTGCCAATAATGCCTTCAATGCAGTTTGGACTCCTTCCTTCAATACCATCAGTTCTTGGTCATATGCTACCTCTTAAAATGATTGAATGTTTACCAGTTATTTTTGGTGCAGTGTCTGTGTATTTTTCCATCTTCTTTTGAGGCTTCCTGCATCATTATTTTGTTTAGAATCCTTCAATACTGCAACTCCAAGCTTGAAATTTTTCTTCAGTAATTTCAGCTTGAGATATGATGATCATGTTCTTCCTTTTGGCTTTCCAACTCCATATATTTTCACATTTCATTACAGTATTTTGCTTTGCCCTCTTGAGCTACCCTTTGAAAATTTCTGTTTGACTCTCCTAATCTATCATTTCTTTCATTTGCTTTACTCGACATTCAAGAACATGTTTTAGAGTGTCTTCTGACATCCAGGTTGACCTTTTCATTCTTTCAACTTTTTAATGGCCTTTTGTATTCTTCATGTATGATGTTCTTGTTGTCATCCTACAGCTCCTTAGGTATTCTTTCATTTGTGTTCATTGGTCAAGGTCGTATTTCAGCTATTGTGAACATGTTTCAGTTTTCTTCAACTTCAACCTGAATTTACCTATGAGCAATTGATGGTCTGTTTCACAGTTAGCCATGGACTGGTATTGGTTGTTAATATCGACCTTCTCCATCATGTCTTTCCACAGATGGAGTCAGTATGATTCTTAAGCATTCCATCCGGCAAGGTCCATGTGTACTGTTACCATTTATGTTGTTGAAAAAAAGTATTTGTTAGGAAAAAGTTGTTGGTCAGGGAAAATTTTCCAAATACTGTTCATTTCTCTTTGTTTCCAACTTTTGCATTCCTATCATCACTAATTATCAATGCATCTTGATTTCATGTTTCATCAATGTCAGATTAAAGAAGTTGTTAGAATTCTTCAGTTTCATCGTCACTAGATTTAGTGTTTGGTGTATAAATTTGAATAATTGTTGTATTTCCTGGATTTTCTTGTATGCTTATATATATTA